CCAGCGGAACGTCAGCTTCCTGTCCCTTCCTGCTTCTCCTCGAGGCGGGACTCCAGGGGTTAACAGGGGCTGCTCTCCCAGCCGGGCGAGGGTTGGCGAGCACTGCCTGCCCTGCAGCGCCGGGCTCTGCTGCCGGGTCCCTATGGGGCGGGGACCAGCCCGGAGGGTCGGTGTGGAGCCAACTGGGGGTGGGTGGTGGTGCGGGGAGAGCCCAGGAGGAGACCTGCAGAGTGGGAACTTTGGGGACACTTGGGGGAGGAGAGGATCTCTGTTCGGGGCGGTCTCGGTGTGTTCCAGTGGCTCGGTATCTGCTTGTCCGAGTCCGTACGTCTCTGGTTCCATCGGTTCTTGTGAGGCTGTGGACACGTTTCTCGGTCTCCGGGTCCGGGGGCTCTGCTCCCGACTCAGTGTCTGTGTGGCTCTGCACGTCCCGGCGTTTCTGGAAGGGTGTGTGTGTGTGTGTGTGTGTGTGTGTGTGTGTGTGTCTGGGTGTCTGTTTCTCAGCTTCTCGGGGGAGCACTTAGTTCCTGTCCTTCTCCCGAGTGCGAGAAAGTGAGAGCCGGCGTGTCAGAGCAGAAAGGGCCCTGGAAGATCACCAAATCCAGCCTCTTGTACAGATGGGGACCGAGGCCAGAGGAGGGCAGGGAATCTCCGAGGCGGGGCTGAGCACAGCTGGCACCCAGGGGCTGGGATTCCCAGCTTGTGCAGAAGTTTTTGGAGAGAGCGAGGGTGTGCAAGGGCGAGTCGCTTCGTGTGGGTGTGTGTGGGAGTGAGCGAGGCTGGGAGCAGCCCTGGGCCCTGTGGGCTGGGGCTCAAACACAGTCTTTCCATCCTGCAGGACCCAAAGGGCTCTCCCAGGAGGCTGGTCAGGGCTGTAGCCCCTGCCCGGCCCGCCATGCCCCGCCCCTCTGAGTTGGAATCAGGGGGGATGATGCCCCCCCTTCTTCCCCATGTCCTGGAAAAAGCTGGCTGGTTGAGATTCCCCCACCCCCACCGCAACACACGCACACAGCCCCAGTGAGCGCGGTGCTGACTCATTTTCTCCAGAAGACCTTGAGCCAGGGCAGATGCCAGCGGTTGGGCAGAGAAATTGTGCCAGGCAAGCACCCTAGCACCCAGCCCAAGCTTTGGGCAAATGGGCCGTCACACTGCTTTGAGGCCAGCTCCTACCTCCCCCTGTCTCCCTGGCTGTGGGTCCTGTGCCTTTTGACTCTAGTGTGCCTCCCAGCTTTGCTCCCCCACCGGTCACCAGAGTGAGCACCATGACATCCCCGCCCCCTGCTTGTCTGCCTTTCCTCTCTGCACTCAGAGCATGTTCCCTTCCTCTGCTTCTGTAAGCCCTGCGGTCCCTCCACAGTCTCACCAGCCTCAAAATGTCACCCGTTTTCTCTGCCCTTCCTGAGAACACTTTCCCTGTTATTTTGTTGGCCAATCTGCTCCCCCATCTCTGCGTCGGGGATCCTCTGATGCCCTCACTGCCTGGCCTGGCATGGGGAAGTACCAGCCCTTTGGTGGTGGAGGGTGGTAGGGAAGCCTCCCGGGCTAACTTCAGGGGGGCTTGCAACCGTGAGCTTGGGCAAGCCTCTCACCTCTCTGATCCACGAAGGGGCATGCCCATCTCCAGCTGGCAGGGCTTGGGGATGGCTACCGACAATGTTCTTGTAAAAGAGCTCAGAACAGCGCCTGACATGGAGTAAGTCCTCAAAAATGGCAGCTGTTATTTGTGTTACTACTCACTTCTTGAATGAGTGTGTGAGTCAATGGGAAAGTTCTGGGCTGCATCCTGTCCAGACTGATGACCTGTCTGTGTGCCCATGGAGGCGGTGTAAGGTATGGAGAAAGGACTTTGGGTGTGGCCATTTGGGCACACAAGGTCTGGCTGTGCCACGGAGGCAGGCAGGATGGCCACCCCCTTGCCACTCCATGGCTCCCAGCTGACCCGCGGGAGTAGTGTCCACAGGGCCGCCTTCTTGCTGGGTCTGAGCTCTGAGCTTCCCGGGAATGTTAAGCTGGGGTGGATCTCTGGGTCCTGTGCGTGTCCAGGTGACAAGGACAGAAGAAGGACCGTCCAGACAGGGTACAGGTTCTGGTCGCCTCATTGTCCAGGAGCAGTCATGATGGGTGGGCTGCAGGGGGGTGGCAAGGGACAGGAACAGCTGGGTGCCCTTCTTGGGGCCCCTTTCTTGTGGCTGTGCTTAGGGCCACCTCCTGTCCTCCCTGGCCCCTGCACTTGAGTCTTCCCGACATCCTGGAGCCCGGGTTTCGCTGAGCCAGGGCCCACAGGCGGTGGTGGAAACAGAAGTCTGCTAGAACACAGCCCGAGCCAGCGCCGGCACCAGCCTTATTCTCAGTAGCTAAACAGGATTGGAACCGGAGGGAAGAAGCAGCAGGGCCTCTGGGAGCCAACTTTCCAGGCCCGGAGCTTACTTACTAGATGGTTTGTTGGCTTCCCTGGCTACGTCTCTTGCTCCTGTTGGTGAAGGCAGGGACTGTGGTCTTTGGCACGCAGGAAGGCCCCACAGGCCTCCAGTTTCTTCTCCTCTGGAGACTGTCCAGTGGGGTCTGTGGCTTTAGGCAAGTCGTTTCTCCTCTCAGGGGATAGGAGTCTGGCCCCTGGGTGATCTTTAAGGACCCTCTCCCATTCAAATGTGCTCTACCCTTGGGGAGTCGTGGGTCGGTGCACCCATCGAGCAGGGCAGTGTGTTTGCGGAGGTGAATGAATGGGCGGCCGGTCTGCAGGCTAGAGGCCACGATGTTAGCCAAAGAGGAGATTCCATTCCATCCTCCTGAGTCTTGTTTCTCCTGAGCTTGGAGGATTTAAAATCTTTCCCTCCGGTTTCTTCTCTAGCACTCTAAAGAGTCATCGTCTTGCCTTAGCCACACCAGAGCGATCCATCGGGGAGGACATGAGTGTCCCTGAGCTCCTCTCTCCTGCCTGGCCTCTCTTTGTCAGCCTGGGAAACATTCTGAGGAGGGAGGATGTGGCAGGGCACAGGGAAGGACGTCCGGAGTAAGGGCCGGTGCACGGAGAGTCCAGGAGAAGAAGGGGCTTGGAGGGACAGTGACAGAGACGAAGGGGTGGCAGGGACTCAGAAAGGCAAAGAAGAGCAATGTCCTTTGAGAAGGCATTCTCAGGACAAATGAGTTCCCGGGTCCTCTGGCCTGGGGGGCTGCAGGATGGCAGCCAGTGTGGGTACTGCTTTGCTGCAGGACTTCTCAGAGCCTTTGGTGTGCGGGCGCGCCACGGGGGCTGTCGAGACCAGGATGCAGGGGACAGCTCTTCCCCGTCCATCTGGCCACAGTATCCTGGAGGGTGTCCCTGGTAGGAATCAGTAGTGAAGAAGGAGTTAGGTGCGGAGCAGCCTTGACGGGGAGGTGCCTGTCCCCGCGTCCCCACCTTGGTCTTCTCCAGTGCCAAATTAAACAACATCTCTTGGGAAGTTCTGGGTCAGTGCAGGCTCTGGCCACTGTGATCCTTCCCAGCACCAATGAGGCTGCCGTTGGCTTGGCGTGGGAGGTCTGCAGGGGGTTACCCTGCCCTTCTCACCTGGCACCTGGGCACTCTGACCTTTACCATTGCCCTGGTGAGCCCGAGGGCAGGCCATGCAGTGGGGGAGGGGGCTGGGAAAGCCAGAGCAGAGCCGGACGAAGGTGCTGGGAGGACCCTTCAAGGCCCAGAGCCCCGTGATTCCAGCTGATCTTCATTCATCCCGTGAGAATGCACTGGACACTTCCCATGTGTCTGCCAGGCGTGGACGAGGGAACAGGCCAGCTCACTCTGCCCTTGGGGGACGTCTTCTAGGAAGGGAAGTGGACAGTGGTGACCAAGTACTTGATGTGGGTGTGGTGTGACTCAGAGAGCACAGCAAGTTGGGAGCTAATGGACGTGTGGGAACTGACCAGGCAGAGAGCAGGGTCCAGCTGATGGAGCAGGATGTGCAAAGGGACCATCATCAGCACCTGGGAGCTGTTCCAGCCGGCTTGCGGGCAAATGAGTTTTCTCCAAGTAAGGGAAGTGCCAATTCAGCATGATTTAAATAATAATGGGATTATTGCTTCCCATGTTAAGAGGCCCCCAAGGAAGAGCAATGCTAGGGTTGGTTAATTCAGCATCTCAACGCGTTATTTTCCATTCTGCTATCCTCATCTGTACACGAGGCTTGTTAGCTCACATGTGCAAAATGGCTGCAACAACTCCAAGTCGGATGTCCTCACTCAATGACATACAGAGGCTAGAAGAAAACCTCCTTGTCCTTTTGAAGAGCTTTCCCGAGCTTCCTGACAGGACCGCTCCCATCTCATTGGCCACATTTGAGTAATATATGCATGCCATTCCCAGGATTGGCTTAGGCTTGTCCAGATTCATCTGGAGTCCTCTGAAGTCCGTGTCCACATGTGACTGCAGGATGGAGGGATGGCTGTGGGTGGAGAAGCACCAGTGTCTTCCAAAGCGCCCTAGTTATGGTTGCCGTTGATGGGAATCACTATTAAATTTGAGAGTAGGGAAAACTAATGGAGGCTGAGCTTATTTTCCAAAGGACCCAGGGTCCGGGGCATCGGACGGCCATTCTGGCAGGCTGGATTCCTGGATTTTGGGGCTCCCCAGCTGCACACCATCCTAGCTGGAAATGGACCCTGGTCTGCCCACCCAGCCTTGGCCCTCCCCACCCACCTGGCCCAGCTCTCTCTGCCTACATCCTGGCCATCTCTGGCCACGTGCCGCCCTCCCCTCTGCCCACCTGGGGATCAGATACCCTGAGTGGCTTCAGGTGTCACCGGTGGCTGCTGGCACAGGAAGGTGAAATCAGATGTTGCCTCTGCCTGTCTTGGCAGGAGCCCCTGAGCAGACCTGTAGCTCTCCTGGCCTCAGTGCAGGGCTGGCGGCGGAGGGGGGGGAGAGGGGGGATGGCCTTTGTGACTATCGACAGGCTGAGCCCTTAACATGCGGGCACTGAGTTCATCCTCATGCCTGCCTAGGAGAGAGAGGGGATGGGGACAACCTAGGCTCAGGGGCTGAATGACTCGCCCTGGGGTCACCCATCGAGAAGCCCCAGGGCCCAGTGTGCACCTGGTTCAGCCTCCTGCCTCCTGGTTTCCCATGTTCCATCTGCATAAGTCAGTGGGCAGCTGCCTTTCCCAGTGCTGGGCCTGGGAAAGGGGTCTCTCTCTCCCCTGCCCTTGAAGGTCAGTGGCCACTCAAATGGTCAAGTCGGGCCTTCCCACTTGACCTTCCTTTCTGCTGTGGCTCCGTCGCCCGTTGGCAGGGGCCTTTGGCAGGGTCTCAAGATCATGAGGCCGTAGAGATATGGAGACTGAGGCCCAGAGTGGGGAGGGACGGGCTCCTGGTTGCTCAGTGCACCCGCTCTGAGCTGGTCCCTGGGTCTCCTGCCACCCAGCGCAAGTCCTCCTACCCCATGACCTTGGCTTAGCTGTCTGTGGAGCTGGTGGGGGCGTTGATACCCTGCAGGCAGGTCCTGCTCCAGAGCCTGGGCCCAGGGACCTGGGGGCTTAGGTGGCACCTCTACAGGGGAGCCCTGGGTGGCACGAGGGCTGGGCCACCGGCTCCCTGCCGGGTCTGGCGGAGGGCGGAAGCTGACTGTGTGTGCTGTCTGCTGTCCCTAGGGGCTTTCTCTTCGCCTGGATCTTAGTCTGGTCTGCCTGTCACCTGGCCTCCACCCAAGGAGCTCCTGAAGGTAATTCTCTCTTCTCTTTGTCCAGGGGAGACAAAGGAGGGCGGAAGGGGCCTGAGGACTCAGGGGCTGCCGGCATCCGTGCCCCTGATTGGGACTGTGTCTCGGTTCTCCCTCAGGAGACGTGGTCACTCACAGGCACATTCTCTTTCATGACCCACGGGGCTTTGCAAGGGGTAGGGGAGGCCATGGTCACGGCCCTGTCTGGGGCAGATCTCTATGAGGCACTTTGGTTTATGAGCCTCAGGTGCCCCTCTCTGTCCAGTGGGTACACTCAGGAGACAGTAAGTGCACAACTGCCATCTCTCAGCCTGGAATCCCACCCTCTGCTTCCCGTGAGATCCTCCCTTCCCGCCTGTCGCTGAGGAGCTGTTCAGGGGACCAGGGCGGCAGTGGGCCGGCTACACAGCTGCCCACGGAAATCGAAACCTTTCCCACATCTGTTTGTCAAGCAGCCACAAAGCCTCTTAAAATAGCTGCCCTTCCCCCTCCTCCACGCCCGCCTGTGTTCTGGGGCAGGCAGCGGGCACTCCGGGAGTCCCCGTGGCCTGACCTGGCCACTGGGCAGGGATTGGGCCCTTGGGAGGGAGGTCCATGCCCGGAAGAGACTAATACCGGGCAGCAACATTTGTGCAAATGTCATATTTTCCAAGCTTGCTCTTTCCCCCACAAAGTAGGTGAACAGCTGTCCAGAGTCCTGAGTCAGGCTCCGAGGGGCCTGGGGAGCGGCCGGAGCTGTGTGGAGCCAGGTTTATGTAATAAAGGGATCTTGCTGGGGCCAGCTGGCCGGGCCCTTCCATCTTGGCCTTGGGCTGAATTCATTCCCTGTCCCCCGTCTCTTCCCCCCTGACGGGATTCTGGAAGTGACTCTACTCTGCCTTCCAGTGAATCTGGGCGGCTCCAGAGTAGTCGAGCCGAGTGGCTAAGAACAGAGACCCCGGGGTCAGGGGCCCTGGGTTCCAGCCCCAGATGTGCCTTTGATAAGCCGTTTGCTCTCGGGCAAGTGATTCCATCTAACCCGGCTATGGAGCGGGGAGGGTAAAGGGTCCACCTTCACAGGTTGTTGGGTCAGTTGAGAAAACACGCATGGAAAGCATTTACCATTTTTAAAAATGATTTTGTTCATCCCAAGATTTTGGGCCAGCATTGCCCTTTCCTCTCTGCAGTGGCCAGAGATTCATTGTAACTCCGGTCTCAGAGTTTGAGACTTTGTCCCTTAGCTATAGAAGGTCTTTGGGGGTCCTGGAGACAGGCTGCTCTTTGGCTTTGAAACTCACCTGGAGAGGACAAGAAGGAACGCCTCCTGCAGGCTGCCTTCCCTGGCCAGCTGTGGTCCTCTGGGCCGTGGGCTTTGTGTGTGGGGAGGGACGCACTGCACGGGGCTGTCACCGTGGGACTGGGGAGGGGTGAGGTGGCTTGCTGTCCCCCACCTCACCCCCACCCAGTGGCTGCTCCTGTTTTAAGTATGCCATGATGATAAGAGGGTTCCATTGCTTCAGACCTACAAGGTCCACCCCAAGCCGTGGTTTATGCCACCTTAGAGCCTGGGACAGGTGAAGGTGTGAGAAAGAAGGGAAGGAGACTGGAGGTGAAGAGCAGGCCCTTGAGTCCTGGGGAAGAACGGGGTCTTAAATCCAAGAGCTGTGCAGTCAGCCCGAGCTCTCCAGTTCTTCCTAGAACACCCTTGACCAGGGCACCGGCTCCAGGGCTGGTCCAGCTCCCGTGTGTTCCCGGCAGGGAAACAGAGGCCCAGGGGTCAGGAACAGACTGAGCAGAGTTACAGGATGGTGGGGAAGGTGGCCATTTCGTCCCTCCAGGAGCCCTAGGGTGAGGCACTCTGCCTGGGTCTTCAGCAGGGGCAACTGAGGCTCGGGGTCCGGGCTCCCAGCAGGTCTGGTCAGGTGCGTCTTGCTGCCTCTGGAGCCCACTACGGAACCCCGGGCAGTGCTGCCAGATCGGAGTTCTGTGTTCCACAGTGGCCCAGCCCTCCGCCCCCCACCCCACCCCTCCGTCCATCTCACGGTTGCTAACTGAGACCCGACTAAGTGCCCGGTGCTGGATCCCAGCCCCGACATGGCCTTCACACAGAGATGGGACAGCACACTTGGGCAGAGTCCCGAGGCCCTGACCCCGATGGAAATTCTGGAGGCAGCCTCCGCTTCCCCGCAGAGTCGGAGCTCGGGAGCCCGGGAGCCGGCTTCTGCAGATGCTGGCAGCTCAGCCAACTGCAGGAGATCAAGTGACCCGGGAGAGAGAAGGTCAGGAAGGCTTTCCATAAACATTCCGGAACCTTCCTTTCCCTCTGGCAAACCCCGCCAACGTAATTACGGGGCAGATGTGACCACAGTCAGATGTCCACAAGCTTCCCCAGAGGAGAGAGGTTGCAGGGATACCTGAGTCTTCCTGCTCTCTTCAAAGCCACGCTGGGGGAAGGGTCAGCGCACGTCACCTTTCTGATGGCCGAGGTCAGCTCCTCAGCCTGCCCCACCCACCCAGGCAGAGACCTCTGCAGGGGGGAAACTGAGACACTAAGGCCACAGGGTCGGGAAGTGGCAGGGCCGGGATTTGAACCGGGAGGTCTGTGTTTGCAGCTGTGATAGGGACGATGCAGCCTGACAAGGGGTCGCGGTGCGTGCCTGACAGCCCCAGTGCAGCGCCCTCGGCCCCTGGCAGGGGACAGCGCTGTGTTCAGATGTCCTCTCCCTTCTTCTCTCAGATGTGGACGTCCTCCAGCGGCTGGGCCTCAGCTGGACGAAGCCAGGGGGCGGCCAGAGCCCCGCGACCCCGGGGGTCATTCCGTTCCAGTCGGGCTTCATCTTCACGCAGAGGGCCCGGCTGCAGGCCCCCACAGCCGCCCTGGTCCCCGCGGCCCTGGGCGCGGAGCTGGCTCTGGTGCTGAGTCTCTGCTCTCACCGGGTGAACCACGCCTTCCTCTTCGCCGTCCGCAGCCGCAGGCATGAGCTGCAGCTGGGCCTGCAGTTCCTCCCCGGCAAGACCGTGGTCCACCTGGGGCCTCGGCGCTCCGTGGCCTTCGACCTGGACGTGCACGATGGTCGCTGGCACCACCTGGCCCTCGAGCTCCGTGGCCGCACGGTCACTCTGGTGACGGCCTGCGGGCAGCGCCGGGTGCCTGTCCCGCTGCCCTTCCACAGGGATCCCACGCTTGACCCTCAGGGCACCTTCCTCTTTGGGAAGATGAGCCCCCGCGCTGTCCAGTTCGAAGGGGCCCTCTGCCAGTTCAGTATCCACCCCGTGACACAGGTCGCTCACAATTACTGCGCCCACCTGAGGAAGCAGTGTGCACAGGCTGGCTTGGACTGGCCCCAGCTGCGACCCCTCTATCCCCAAGACTCCAGCAGACCCTTCACCTTCCAGAGTGACCTGGCCCTGCTAGGCCTGGCGAACTTGACCACTGCCACACCTGCCTTGGGCTCACGGCCAGCAGGCAGGGGGCCGGCAGTGACAGTGGCTCCCGCCAGGCCCACCCAACCCCAAAGAACTAGCCCCTCAGATCCTCGCCCGCGTGCCCCTGTGGGAGGCCCAGCCCGGACCCCACCGCCACCTGCCAAACGGTCAGGCAGTAAAGTCCCTCCCCACTTGCCCCCTGCCTCTTTGGCTGGCTCCACCAGAACTCACCCCGCGGCTTCCCAACCATGGCCAGTCACAGCCACCCAGGTCCCTAAGAGTCCCTCCACCAAGCCTTCCATCCTTTCTCCTTCAATTGCCCCTGAGAAAAGCCCTCATCCTACCCAGAAAGCCGCTCTGTCTTCATTCACTAAGACAGCTTCGCCCACCCAGAAGCCCGCGCCACCCACTCCCCGCCCAGCTCCTGTCAAAGTCCCCCATCCCACTGCGAAGCCGGCCCAGAGGAACCCTGTCGTGGCCCGGCCTCCGGCCCCCAGCACCCAGCCCCTGCCTCCCACTGCCCGTTCCACAGTAGCCCCGGCTGAGGCCAGGCCAGCCAGCCCTGCCAGGAGGCCAGCCTCTGCCCTCACCGCCACCCGCAGACCTCCGCCACCCACCAGCCCTGGCCCTCCCAGAGCAGCTCGGCCACCAGCCACGATGGTGGCTTCAGTCTTGGGCACTGGAACTCCCAGAACTGTACCCCCCACTCGCTTTCCTGGTTCCGTCTCCGCCGGAAGCAAGAAACCCACTGGATCAGAAACCTCCAAGAAAGCCGGACCCAAGAGCGGTCCCCAGAAGCCCGTCCCCCTCAGACCTGGGAAGGCAGCCGGGGATGTCCTGTTGAATGACCCGACCACCAGGGCCAGTCCCAGGCAGTCCCCGCCCAGTGGACAGACCACCCCGGCCCTGGTCTCGGCCCCCGTGGGAGTCCTGTCCTCCGGTGCCCGGCCCACGACGAGCAGCGGCTATTCCTTGGTTCACCTGGAGGGACCCACACCGTTCCCCCTGCTGATGGGGCTTCCAGGGCCCAAGGGAGACTGCGGCTTGCCGGTAAGTGAGGGTGGGGTGCGTGCTGCATCCCGAGGAGGGCAGAGGGCAGCTTGGTCAAGAGGCTGCTCCTGAGCAGGGCAGGGGAGCGGGGGTGGCAGAGTCGTCACTGGAACCCTGGGCGACTCCTCCGGGCCGTGGGCTCCTTCTGCACATCCTGCTGCAGGTTCCTGTCCACTGAGCCAGACTCGGGTCTGAGGCCTTGCCCAGGTAGGGGCAGCCCTGAGCTCTGGTTGGCTCAGGTCCGAGGTCTTTCTATGCTGACCTGTGCGAAGGTCTAGTGGCTTCAGGAAGGCCATTGACCTCTTGGCCCCGGGTCCGACCGAGCGAGCTGGGTGAGCAGCAGGCTCTGCGGCAGCCTGGGAGTTGGGGGCAGAGGTCAGCTGTGAGTAGCTCTGGCTGTGTTTGGTTTGGCACGTGCGGTATGCTTTACTAAGTGACTAGTATTTTAAAACCGTGAGAGATGTCTTATAAAAGTCTTGGGGACCAATTTCTCTTGGAAAGTGGGTGGTCGAGGGACCCATGGGCAGCCCTGTTAGATAGGACAAACCTTCTGTCACCGAGGCTCCCCACTCCTCCCACTTGAGCCAAAAGACCAGGCCTGTCACCCATCACGACCAGCTGTCTGGCCAGTACCTGTGGGCATTTGCTCTGCAGGCCCTGCTAGCGGAGCTGGGGCTGAGGGAGGTCAGCGGGGGCCGGAGCGCACAGGAAGGGATGAGGGAGAGCATTCCGTGTGCGGGAGATGGTCTCAGGGTCGCTGCCTCTGGCTTGCCGGGACCGTCTCCAGGGGCAACGACCTTCCCGCAGCTGGAGGCCAATTCCTCCGGGTGGGGAGTGGTGGGATGGAGTTTCCAGAAGACTCGGGCCTGTTCTGTCCTCCTCCTTCCTTGGAGATGGCCTCCAGTCGGTGGCCTCCACCCTCCCCCCCAGAGCGGGGTCTCCCCCTGGGCTGTGTTGGAAGTCAGGGCTCCCTACCAGGTGGAGACAGTGGCCGGCGCGGGGACTTCCCAGGCCTTGCAAACACACTTAATGAGTTTTAATAATCATTAGGAATAATATTTATTCAGCCTGTCTCCAAGGGGACAGAGAGTCCGCCTTTATTATAACCATATTGTCGACCGTATGGAACGCGACGCATTGCAATGCGGTTATGTCAACGTGCCTCGGAGCTCCGCGTTCTGAACTTGGCAGTGGAGGGAGGGGAGAGTGAGGAACTCCTCATCCCCAGGCCAAGCAGCCCGCCTCTGGCCCCGGCCGCCCTGGGCACCGACACCTCAGCTTCCCAGGCTGCAGTGAGGTCAGAAGCGGGTGAACTGTTCCCTTCAACAGCACATCGGGAGGCCCAGGGTTCCTGCTCTGGCCACACAGCATGTCCCAGCTCAGTGGAGGAGGCCAGCTCTCCCCCCCAAGGCCACATGAGGTATGGAGCAAGGGAGGCCAGGTCTAGCTGAGCAGAACTGGAATAGGAACTTTTTTTTTGGTATAGAATCTGGCTCTGGGGCCTATTTTAGGCTCAATTTGTTGTTTTACCCTGGGGCTTAGGGCTTTGGGTCACCTTCTGCTAAACCTCCTCTTGAGCTTCTCCTTCATCAAAGCAGGTACTGGATCAACCTGGTCCCTGGATAGATGCTTAGGGATTATTCAGTTCAATCCTCTAACTTAGGCAGGTGCAGAGGTAGGAGACTATGCCCAGAGAGGGCCAGGAGTTGCCCAAGGCTACACAGCCCATAAGAGGGTCAGACTGTCCACTGGGAAACCAGTGCGTTCCATCCCTCTCCCTGTGTCCTCTTGGGGCTCCGGGTCACATCAGGGCTTCACAGGTGGGTCAGGCCTCCTCCTTGGCCTCAGAGGAAGGGCTCCGAATCCACAGAATGTTCTGCTTTGGTAGTGAGTCAAGTTGCTGAGCCACTTCCTCCTGCCCAGCATCTCCTGGCCCCTGGTGGAAGCCAGTCAAGGGAAAGGGAGTGTTGCTGATCCCTGTCTGACGGGTGGGTGAGCCGGGGAGGGAGAGATGGAGGACCTGGCCGGGAGGCCCAGAAGGTTCCCGTGGGAGCCGGGAGCTCTGATTCTGCCCCTCTCCAAGGTCCTCCTGCCCCTCCCGTCCTGACCACCAAGGGCAGGAGGGAGGACATCAGCCCGCCTCGGTGCCACCCTTCTTTACACCCCGTGCTGCCCCATCCTCCTGCCCCTTGTGCTCCAGGAGGGACCAAGAAGCTTCTAGAATCTTTGTCCACCGTGTGGCAGGTGGCAAACAGCTCTCTCCTTCCCCCCAGATACCAGTGTCACCTTTGAGCAGTGATGTGACCTCCCCTTCTCTCTGTCCTCTCTCATCTTCTCCCCACCCCGGAGGGGGCCTTCAGGATCTAAGCAGCAGCAGGGTTTCCTTGTCCTGGCTCTGGGGACACGCAGACCTGGGTTCAAGTCCTGGCTCCACCTCCTCCTAGTGTGACTGGTCCACTCTGACCCTCGGTTTCTGTGGACGGCAGGATGATAGCTTCCACGTGCTGTGTTGGAGGTCAGCCTGGGGCCTGGCTGGGACACCACACAGGGAGCTGCAGCAGGGGGCAGCACACGGGGCCATCTCAGCTTGATTTCCAGAGTGACCGGGAAGTTCCTCCCCGTCCCAGGCTCAGTCTCCCCTGGGCAGTGTGCATGAGTGGGGGTCTAGGTGGGGTGCAGGGCTGCTGGCTGAGACCGGGCTGGGGTTCCCAGGGCCTGCAGGGCTGGTAGGGGCTCTGCGAGGTGCTCTGTGGGAGCCCAGGAGGGGGAGGGGGAAAACCTGGGCCCAGGTGAGCTGGGGGCAAGGGCAGTTCCCAGAGCTGCAGGGAAGCTCCCGGAAGCCCCACGG